GCTTGCCCTGGCACTACAGATTTTAATATAACATAATTCCATTTCCCTTCAAAATTATAAGATGCTAAATAATGTCTAAAGCTGCACTTACCAACTCATTAAAACTGGGACCACTGTAGCTTTATGCCTGCTGCTACTCCCACCACATTTCAATGCATGGCCTTTCTAGGTGCCAGTGGATATACAATTAATCTAATATATTTTGAATAAATTGTGTACCAAATGTGAGGACGCTAATTTCTAAGCATCATAATCAGTTACAAGAGGGGCCAGATGTTAGCACAGTGTTAAAACATAATGCTGTGTGAGGCAGACCTATGTGGGAAGGTTGCTGGTTTGGGTCCAGAGACCTCCCTGAGTGTGCTGGGCATGTGCATGCCCACAGTTGGCTGACTGAGGCTGGGTGCGAATTGTGATATTGAGGTCCTGTTGATGATGCTGTATCTCTGTGTCTCTCTAATAAGAGATACAACTATATTCTTCTTCAGAAAAGAAATTGTATCCTTTCACTTTAAAAAACAGCCTAATACAGGGACCAGTACATGGTGTAATGGTTACATTGCTGGACTCTCACATGGCTTACCATGGTTTGAGTCCCAGACGTGGTGACTTAAAACTCAAGACTAAAAAACTTCATCATGAAATATTTTAAATATATATTTTCCATTTGTTTTAAGAACTATCATCAGGTTTTTGTTGTATTGAAGCAAACAAAAACCACTATTGTCAACATTAAAAAGTTGGGGAGCTGGCAGGTGGCATGGTGGTTAAGGGTGCTGGACTCCCACATGGCTGACCATAGTTCAGGTCCCAGATCTGGCAGCTTGCTTTCTCTCTCTCTCTCTCTCTCTCTCTCTCTCTCTTTTAAATTTGCTACATCTCTCATCACTCTTGCTCTGTCCCTCTCTGGTCAAATTAAAATAAGTAAATAAAGCTTAATAAAATAATTACTTTTTAAAAAGTGTGTATGTTGAAAATCTAATTAAATACACATTGTATAGTATTTGTATTAAAATGTTGTAGAAGAACTAGCAGATGGCATAGCAGTTATGTCACTGGATTCCCATATGGCTGACAATAGAATCCTAGACCCAGTGGTTTGAAAAATCACACCATGTGCATGTGTGTACATGTCCAAGATCCCAGAAGAAGAATGTATTTTAGGGACTAGCTCCATGGCACAGTGGTAATAGGTATACGTTGAAGAGACCTGGATCTCACATGGTAACTGTGGGTCAACTCCCAGCATGGGCAGCCTGGAACACGCTGGGTACACAGGTAAGTGCCCAGGGTCAGATGGGCCAGAAGACGAGAGGAAGGTGACGAGACCCTGTGGAGGGTTCTCTTCACCCTTTTTCTTTCTCACTCTCTGAGTCTTTCTCTTGTGTACACACATGTGCTCTCTCATGAATAAAGAAAAAATGAAGAAACTATTGTGTCTGGTTGTATCTCTTATTATTCCTATAATATGATCATCATACAATATTTTAATTAACTTCTTGTGTGACTTTAGGTATATAACTTTTATTAAAAACAATTTTAAATACATTGATACTGAGCAGCAACATGTCACACCACCAAAAGAAGAACAACATACACAGTACACACAATCTGAAGATAGTGGACAAGTGTTTTAAAGAATTATTTCATTTTATTTATCATTATTATTTTTTAATTTTGTTACAGAACGCACACACTCACCAGTGACAGATGAGAGAGAGAGAGAAAGCCTTCAGGTTCCAGAATGAAATCATGGTCAGTCACGCCAGAGTTCAGTGCCTTAACCGCCATGCCGCCTGCTGGCCTCGTAGACAATTTTTGACCTATTTGAAATTAATTTTGTTGGACAAACAAAGCAATCAAGATGGTTGATTTTTAAAAATATTATAAACTAATATATTGAACTTTTATTTAAATTTATTTATTTTTAGGTTTTTGCCACAGAGCACGTGCACTCACTGGAGAAATACAGACAGAGGGAAAATGAGAAATCACCCTTCGGGAAGGATGGCCACACTGTATCCCTTCTCCTCCATTGTCCTCTGGGGATTTGGAGCATGCACACACACATACCCTGTGTGATTTTCCAGCTGCTCGGTCTGGGTCTCGAACTATGGTTGGCCATGTGAGAGTCCAGCACCTTGACTATCACGCCACCCACTGTCCCCGTGAGTATTTTATTTCAGGCTGTAATGGTACAAAGCAATTTACAAAATTGATTTTTTTTTTTTTCCTTTAAGCATCTCAAAGTTCAATACAATTCCGTGCCTGTTTTGTTTCAACTCAGTGTGAGGACAACACCCCACTTTGCATGGAGCTGGATATGTGTTATTTTTAAATAAATGTAACAAGAGGTATACTTTACCTGTTTAAATATGATGATTAGCAATTACTAGCTAGAAGTGTTATCATTTAAGCATTTCCATGGAGTGAAAAGGATTTATTGTTCTCCATTTTATGTTCCCATATTCTAATTTTAACACTTTCTTTTCTTCTGAGGCTTCGTGCTTTCTAGTTTGGACCTTATAATAAATATATTCAGAGATAACAGATACTTACTTAATGAGTATTTGTATTTTGGCTTATACTCTATCCAAAAGTGGAAGGAAATGGTGAAGATAGGGTTGACTGACTTTCCTCCAGAATGAAAACGGAAAAGAAAATTCATTATAAACATAGTCATTCAGAGCTCGATGGATTTACGGACTTTTTATATCCTGGACGGAGATGAATCCCATGCAGCAACCCTGGATAGTGTTAGTGCTGGCCTGCGATTTAGACATGGTACAGGTACGAAATACTTCTCTTCAGAGGGCAGAGCTTGGCCAGACCCATGGTATCTGCCAGCTCTCAATTATCCATGAACTATTACTAAATCTGAAAATTAAACAGGCCCCTATCTTCTCTTTCTTTTTAATTCCTTTTCCCTTTTCTCTTACGCTTTTTGGCAATTTTACTGCCAAACTGCTTTTCACCAAAAGATCTTTTTTTGGGGGGTGGGTGTGAACAAAGACAAATCAATGACTTTAAATACTCTTAGTGGACCACGTAAAAAAGATTTGGTTAGAGAAAAAATTAGTTCTCGTAACACCGACAGATTTCCAAGGTGAATCTCATCATATCTTAGAGAGTGTATAGTTCAGAAAAAAAAAAATTCTCCTTTTAAGGCTTTGAAAATATCTAAAAAAACAAGTGCTACCCAATATTACATAGGCAACAGTGTATTATAGTTACTGCCTGGTGGAAATGAGTTTTGTTTTGCAAGTGGAGATTATTTTTGTTATAATCTAGCGGTCGTTTTACTCCAATACTGTATTTTTTTTCTGGCTTAACAGAAGGGTTTGGCAGCAGTGAAGGGTTTTATGTATATGATACTTTCCAGAAATCTGGCAAGAACATTATCACAATGAAATTTCCATCACACAGAAATGTTAAGGCATGTTTTCCAAAAGAACAGAATGTTTAGAAACAAAACATATATCTAAAAAGTCTTATTAAAGTGACGTGAAGGGAAGGTAATTTCCTACTACTGCCTAAAGGGCTATATATGGAGAAACTTATCCATTCATGCATATTCATGCATTTTCTAACTCAAATAATATTTTCTTTCCTCTTCTAACAAGGGCTCGAGAACCACTCTAACAGTCTGTGCTTTGAAGAAATTAGTTCTTTAATTTATTTATTATTATTAATTTGCCATAGGGCACATGCACTCACCAGCAAGAGACAGAGAGGAGGGGCAGGAGAAAGTGAGAAAGCAAGCCACCAGGTTCAGGACTTGAACTGTGGTTGGCCACGTGGGAGTCCAATGCTTCAACCACCATGCTGCAATTTTACAAAGCCCTTCTAATTCCTACCAATCCTAAGGTATTTTCAGGTTGTTCCAATCTGCAGTCTATCATATAGAGAAATAAAAAGTAAGTCTAGTCTGTGATGCTGTACCCAAATATTTCATAAAAAAACCCCTGCAGTTTCCCACTTTCTAATACAACTATTTCACATGAAAACACAGATGTAATCTTAGACTAGGTCACATAACTCCAAATAAAGGTCTTGCCCAGTCTCTGTTAATGAGGAGCAAACAGAAAGAGATTCTTGGGAAATTTTTACTGGTTTTCTGTGTCTGACTTTCACCGAAATAAATATTTTATGATGTGCTCAGTTTTAAGACAGGGGAGTATAATATTGCTTATTTAGACTTTGTCTCAGTACTGGACATTATATGTATATAATATGGCAATTATTTTCTTTTTTGTCTAAACTTCTTATACAAATGTATTTTTTTTCTTTTTCTTTTTTTTTTTTTTTTTTTGGAGAGGTTTTCGCTATAGGGCATGTGCGCTCGCCAGACAGACAGAGAGAGACATAGAGACAGAAAGCGAGAAATCACCCCCCAGGGGGGATGGTCACGCCGCAATCCCTTCTCCTCCATTCTCCTCTCGGGATCTTGGGCATGCATGCACATGTGCCCGGCGTGAGTTTTAAGCCACTGGGTCCGGGACATGAACCACGGTCAACTATGTGGGAGTCCAGTGACATAGCCATTACGCTAACTGCTGGTTCCCTACAAATGTATTTTTAACGATGGTGTTATTTAATAATTTTTCAACCTATTATGTTTTTATTAACTATATCTTATGTGCCTAATTAGATGTAAAACACATATTGAAAACTAGGTGTGGGACAAATAAATTACATACCATCTAGAAGTCACTGGAAAATAATATAAAATAATCTATTAAGCGTGTACAGGAATTGAAGAGAGAAAACTCTTGTCAGGAGTTAAAAGAAAACAGTTGAGCCAGCTGGTGGTAAGGTGGTTAAGGTGGCATGGTTCGAGTCCTGGACTCAGTGGGCTGACAAATACAATGGTCTGTGCATGTCCAAAGTCTTCAAAGGAGACATGGAAGAAAAGGGATTGTGACATGACCATGCCCCATGGAGGTGATTTCTCTCTCTCTCTCGCTCGCTCTCTCTCTCTCTCTCTCTCTCTCTCTGAGTGCATATGCTCTGTGGTGAAATTAAATAAATAAATAAAAGCAAGGAGAATATTTGTCCTGCTTTATTTTTGATAGAGTGTGTGCATGTATGTGACAGTATGTGTGAGAGAGAGTTGAGCACCCTCTGCAGGGTCTGATCATAATTGATCCTCTCTCTTCAGTCTTCCAGGTAGTTAGACCTTGGGCACTTGCAGGTGTGCCTTTCAAGCAGTGAGGGAGAGAGATTCCAACCATGTCACCATGTGGGATCTGGCTCCTCTTAAAGCAGTGCATTTCTGCTATGCACCAATGGAGAACACTTCAAGGAATAACTATACTAAGGATTATCATTACATCCCACATAGCACCTGACACTTAGTAAGCATTTGGAAAGTATTATTGAATAATAAAGGAGTTGATGGAGTAGTTGCTTTAAACATGTCCCCAACAAATTCATGTGTTGAGATTTGCTTCCTATTGTAACAGAATTAAGAGAATAAAAAATCCAATTATGATGTTGAAAGGCGGGCTTTGGAGAAGTAATTGAAAGTAATTAGGCATCAGGGAAGGGCCTCCATGATTGGATACTGGCAGAGACACAGACACGCATGTGCTTGCTCCACATTACCATGTAATGCCCTCACCACGTTATCCACCAACAAGAAAACCCTCCCCGATGGAGCCCCTTGACCCTGGACCTCCAAGACCATGAACCAAACTATTCTTAAAAATTATCCAGTTTCAGGTTATGCAGCAACAAAGAGCTGACCAGAGAGTTATCCAATTTGTATAATACATCATTTAAATCACAACCTAAGTATAAAACCTGTATGAAATTCATGAAGATTTGGAAAATGGCCTAGTTCTGCTGGAAACAATGAAAGTCAGACCACTATCAGTGACATCTTTAAGCCATTGTTGATGGGGACATCCTGGACAGTGATCTGAGAAAAATCAAAGAGCATAAGCAAGGGATTATGAAAGCTCTGAATTGTTCAGTTATCAATGACCTTCCTTGGAACCTTTAAAGAATCTTAACGATGGCAAAGAAAGACTAGGAATCGGAAAACCAGTAACAGGTCTCATGTTCAGTATGAAAAGTTCTAGGACATTACAACAATGCATAATTCTTAACTTTTTTCTTTTTTAGTGTATTATTTTTCTAGCTCTGTTTCCTATTCTGCTTTTTCTTTCTCACCACCTCCCTCATCTCATTTTCACAAATAAAAGCAATATTTGAAAGTATGCGAAGGCTCTTCAAAGGTTCATGGAAAATATTCACTATGAAAAAAAATGTGTAGATTCACCAAAATAAACATGTACTGTAATCTCATTTTTTCCATGAGCCTTTCGTGGTCCTCTTGTTCAATTTGAAAATGATGTCTTCAGATGGTTGTGTTGCAGTGAGTGAACACACTTACAAAAGGATGATCAAGCCTCTTGTTTTTGCCCAACTTTCTTATCCCAACTACAGTTAAGAAAAACATTCCATACCATAAAAATAGTTTAGTCTGCTCTACGTTCTGGGAACACTGTTTTTCCAAAGGCCAAATGTCCCTTCTTCAGAGCAGAGGCATCGTGCAGTTTGGGTCTCATCGCAGAACGCAGCCCAGCTGGGAGGATGGCCTCTCACCATTCCTCCCTGGCAGGAAGACAAGGTATGTTATGGGGACAGGCAGGTCCACAGCTGCTGGCCCTGTGAATTCCCCAGTAGAATTCGTTAATTAGCTGGCTCTTTCCAGTCCATTCCCCACAGAGGATGAAACAAACAAACAAACAAGATGCAAAAGGCTAGCACCTGCATGCTTCATATGCTAAGACTGAAGAAAACCTAGGCACTGAGAGAGTTCTCAGGGCATGTGGAAATGAAGTAAGGCAGCTAGGAAGCTCAGCAGAGAGTCTGCCAATAGGAAAAGCATCCAGCGGCTTAAGTGTTTGGACAGATAAAATATACTGAGAAAGGGTTGGCAAAAAGGTGTGTGTAAGTCTCTTGGCAGGGTCGACATGACACACTAGAAACTGACTTGTATTGAGGACAGTGCAAAAGTAATTCTATTAGGCTAGTTTGGGTACATTAAATTCTCTCTCTCTCTCTCTTTTCTTTTTTTTTTTTTTTTTTTTTTTTTTTTGCTGTAGGGTGTATGTGCCCACCAGAGAGAGATGGGAGTGGAGAGAAATGAGAAATCACCCCCCCCGAAGGGGTGTGGCCATGCCACAATCCATTCTCCTCTAGGGATTTTGGACATGCACGCACACACACCTAGCATGATTTTCAAACCACTGAGTCCAGGATTCGAACTGCAAAGTCAGCCATGTGTGACCCAGCCACATTATCCCCCATGCCATCTGCTGATCTTTAACTCTCTTGGAGAAATTATAAGTAGACAAGTGTCTCTACCAAAATTAAATTGAACTTATAATATGTTGGTTAGACATTATATTTATCTTTATTTTCAACAAATTATCCAGAAAAATTTCATATTTTTAGGATTTTTTTTCCCTCTGGTAAAACTGCATCTAGTCTCAATCTATATTGAGTAACATTTTACTTAAAATATAAGTTAAACTTTTATAAACATTTTGAGGGAATTTCTACTGCCTCAAACTTACCAAGTTTCCATCTCTAAGGAAATGGTGATTTGAAAATTCCTCCTAAAGACAGGGCATCAAAAAAGAAAATATTCATATGTCATAAAAAATAGGAAATATAACACCATACTTAAGGGAAAAGGGACATATTATTTTTCATGGTAGAAGTCCTTGACAAGTTCATGGAAAATGTATATTATGAGAAAACTATGCGTGGATTTCATTTTTTTTTGTACCAAAATAAACTTGTACTTTAACTTTAATTTCATTTTCCATGAACTTTTTGAAATCATCTCCTATTAATGTCATTTAGAGCTCAACCTGCTTCAGTCTTTTATGAAAGAACACAAAATCAAGTTTCTTTCTTTCTTTTTTTTTTTTTTTTTTTGGAGAGGTGTTTGCTGTAGTGTGCATGCACTTGCTAGAAAGACACAGAGAGAGAGAGACAGAAAGTGAGAAATTACTCCCTTGGGGGGGATGGCCACATTGCAGTCCCTTCTCCTCTCGGGATCTTGGGCACACACGCACACACACTCGATGTGAGTTTAACCCACCGGGTCTGGGACTCGAACCACGGTCGACTACATGGGAGTCCAGCAACATAGCCATTATACTAACTGCTGGTCCCTCAAGTTTCTTCTTGAAATAAGCACATGCTCTGCACTTTCTACTTATGTATTATTTTTAAGTGCAGCTTTCAGTACTTGTGTATGTATACTTTTATTTTATTTTAAAACCATCATTTAAAAAACTCAGTGCTCTGTGTAAACACACAATATAAATAGTTAAAAATATAAGTATACTTAAAAACTCTGTCACCAAAAAGTAAGCAGAGATATACTTGAGAAAACATCTCTCAAGGTTTTCCTCAATGTTATGTAGCTACTCACACTTACCTATATGTACTTGAGTTAAAGCACAAGGATAGACAGATGCCTGCCGGAAACCCTATGATGAAGCCACCATTGTGTAGACTGACCTACAGCCATTTCTGTTTCATTCAGAATTATTCATATCTCTAAATATAGAAACACATTGTTAATTCTGACGTTTCCACTGTGAACATGCCAAAATTCACTGCCCTTTTGCCATCTCTGGGCATTAACTTTTACCAGTTCAGTGAACTGTACTATTTGATTTTTAATTACATTTCTTTAATTTTTTTTTAGCCAAATTTGCACATTTTCAAATGACAATGACTTTGTATTTATAGTTGTTTGGGAAAGTGCCTGTTCAAGCTCTCTGACTTTTATTTTATTTAATTGTTTATTTTTGTTCTTAATGATTTCCTATGACTTCTTGTATATGTTCATATTAACTTCTTTATGTCCTGTAATATTCACAGATTTTTATTTTTGCAGAAATAATTTTATGTATGGATGTAAATATGAATAGTAGTTATGTATTGGCTGTTTTTTAAATAATTATTTTATTTAACTTAGTTTATTTATTTTAATTTGACCAGAGAGGGACAGAGTGAGACTGAGAGAGAGATGGAGAGGGAAAGTGAAAAAGCAAGCCACCAAGTCTGAGGCTCGAACCATGGTAAACCATGTGAGAGTTCAGTACCCTTAACCACTATGCCACCTGCCAGCCCCCTGTATTTGCTATTTTTTTAAAAAAAAGGTTTTAAAGAGATTGTTGTTATAGGCATGTGCACTCACCAGAGAGACAGAGGAACAGAAAGTGAGAAATCACTACCACTCCAGGGGGGTGGGCGTGCTACATTCCCTTCTCCTCCATTCTCTCAAGATTTTGGGCATGTATGCACATGCACCTGGCGTGATTTTCAAGCTTCTAGTTCTGGGACTCAAACCACCATCAGCCATGTGGGAGTTCAGGGTCCCAACCACCATGCCACCTGCTGGCCTTTGTATTTGTTATTTTCATGAAAGGGAAGCCCACTTTTAATCACAAGTCTCTTTATGGAAGCCTGCCTGATATTTTCGTATTGCTTATAGACAATGTATTCTTCTAAACTTTAGTGAACAAGAAATATTGTGCGGATACAGGGAGAGGAGGGCTAGGAATATAGAGAAAATGGAAGGTGGGAGAGAGAGAGAGAAAGAAGCATAAGATGGAACAGCACTACCTCCAGGGATTTTTGCCAATTGGCTTCATCCTTAATTGTTACTATGAGTCAAGCAAAAGGCCTGTGCTTAGAATTAGCACATTTTCTTCTTCGTTTCTGGCCCTACTGTCTTCCCACAGTGCGCAAATTCCCAGTCCCAGTTTGTTGCTCCGGGTCATTATGTGCATCTCACCAGCCCCAGGCTGAGCCGCCACTGAAAGAATGATCACTGCACAATATTTAGTCTTGGATGGAAAGTCTCAAAATGAGAATGAGCTATTAATCCAGAGACTGAGTCATTTGTGGATGATGAGAAATACAGACAAGATGCTCTCCTAAATCATGGTGGTTAAGAAACAGGAGCCAGCAAGCAGGCTCACTAGTCATTTGTTTGGTCATATTGTGGTGAGAAGTATCAGAATGAGGTGGGGAGTGAGCCCGTCATGTAAGGCACGTTGTCACTGTAGAATGAATGAATGAGTAGCTGGCTCTCTAAGGACAGCGTGGCCAAGAGGTCCAAACTGGCCCGTAAGTCTTTATCTCCATCTCTGTGGTTTTGTAGTTAAGTCTTTCATAGCTGACCAAAATGCATTCTGGTTGGCATACCCTCTTTTTAGAGACAACAGATTATTGTCTAACCCTTTCATCCTAGAAGCAATCTATTCCTCTTCTTTTCCTCATAGTGATTTTACATCATTCTGTGCTAATCCATCATTTAAAGTTTAACGATCAGAGTACCATGTCATTTCCAAATTCTCAAGCTATGCCTCATATTCTCCCCCCCACATCTCACTTAAAATAAACTTCCTAAAATATAAACTTAGTCTCCTTTATTAATAGTAATAGGGAAATTTTAAAATTCCTGTTGTAGGATGTCAGAAAATATTTATTATGACGTGATTTTCAATATTTGCTAACATAATTATCTAGATTTGATCAATATTTTAAAAATAGTATTAACTATTTTTGTACCAGCAGATGGTGTAATGGCTACATCACTGGACTCTCATGCAGTCGACCACGGTTCAAGTCCTGGACCAGGTGGCTTAAACTCACACCGGGCGCTTGTGCATGCATGCCCAAGATCCTGAGAGGAGAATGGAGGACAAGGGGTTGCAGTGTGGCCATCTTCCCTAGGGGGCAATTTCTGGCTTTCTGTCTCTCTGTTTCTCTCTGTCTGTCTGGCGAGCATACACACCCTATAGCTAAAACCTCTCAAAAAAAAATATATTACAAACTATTTTAAGTGAGAAATAGTCAAAGAGCAAAAAGAACAGTTTAATTAAAATACTGAAATATATGTATACACAATGATTCTAAGACTGCAATTTTGGAAGCTTCTCAAAAGTCCTGAACTGACTCAGCACAGCAGTAATGCTAGAATCCTTCAGTGTTGGAAATCATATGGCAACCATGGTTCAGATCCCAAATTGGCCTGAAAAACATGCTGGGTGTGTGTCCTGGGGCTGGGGGCGTGTGGAGGGCAACCAGTATCTTGAGGAGTTGGGGTGCTGGGGAAAGGGAATTGCAGAGTGACACGACTCTATTGAGGATGCTTTTTCTCCATCCCCCCAACCCCCAGTCTCTGTCTTACATGCATACAAATTCGCTTCTGTCATAAATAAATAAATAAAGTGTAAAAAGAAGTTCAAAGCCTTCTAAAATTTATGTTTCTTTCTTTTTTTTCATACACTTCTTGGTTTTAAATGATATACAAATGTGTTTCTTATGTCTACAGTCTGTTGAATCCTATAGTGATATGATGAGATTTGAACATTCCCTTATTTTCATCCATTCTTTTGACAACGACTCTAACAAGCAAGAAAGTGGCAAAAGTAAAACATGCAGACAAAGAAGAAAACTTGAGAAAAGAAACACCCTGGAGTGTCCGTTTCTGACTGTCCAACTATTTCAAATGCTCTCCAGGTTTAGGGAAATAGAGACTGTACTTGTTACGTTAAAATACAAGCTGATTTCTCACTTCCTATAACAAAAATAATGTGTGCTGTCCCAGCTTCAGGTGTTCTGGGTTTTTAAAAATATGCAGTCAGTTTGATAATTAACTTTTGGATAAGGAAGCATGCAGGATATCGAAGGAAAAAAAGTACGTGCGGTGTTAGCTGAATGGGAAGTCTGCCCAGAACATGTCCCCTGCTATAAGATTAGTTTGGGAATTAGGGATTTACAGTGCTCACCCCCTTCTAGAGGAGACTTGGCTGTCTTCCCTGGAAGTGCAAAGATAAATTGGTGGGAGTGAAAGAAATCAGTAAAGGCCAGGGGCTGCTGAAAAGCAGACTTTCTTGTCACTAGCTGAGATGTCGTAAAGCGTGCTGAAGGCAAATTAGGGCGGAGAAAGACAATTTTTACATGTTAAGAGCAAAAACAGCTGACCAGTTCTGTCTCCTGATAGTTAATCCCGAGAAACGTAATACAAAGCTGCAGCTTGGAGAGGAAAGAGACCATAGTTAAGGGATGGTGGGTCATCACTGATTTCTTGCTGCAGAGCTGCGGGGCACAGGGCCTCTCATGACGTCCTATATCCAACAGAGGAGTCCTGACAGTAGACTGAGGAATGATGTGGATAACCCTGAGTGAATGACTACAATGATGGTGAAATGGTTTGAAATGGTCTGATTTTCAATATTTCAGTATAGAGGAGATATGCGACATATTATCGTTCTCCTTTATTTCCTCCTTCTTTCTCCCCACTATTTTTAGTTCTCTTTCTTTCTCTTTCTTTCTTTCTTTCTTTCTTTCTTTCTTTCTTTCTTTCTTTCTTTCTTCTTTCTTTCTTTCTTTCTTTCTTTCTTTCTTTCTTTCTTTCTTCTTTCTTTCTTCTTTCTTTCTTTCTTTCTTTCTTTCTTTCTTTCTTTCTTTCTTCTTTCTTTCTTTCTTCTTTCTTTCTTTCTTTCTTTCTTTCTCTTTCTTTCTTCTTTCTGCCTTTCTTCTTTTTTCTCTTCCTCTTTCTCTTTCCCGCTTCATCTTCTCTAAC